TGCTTCAGAGGATAGTGTGCAGGTCCCAGGTTCATGTTATAAAAGCTGCCTGGGAGATTATGGACCATTCACAGACTTTCTACCTTAACATACAGGGTTGTTGTGTGGATCATACAGAGGAGAGGAGAATGATGTCAGCTGCTTTGGTTCCTACTGCAGGGAACTGCTGAGGGTGGGGTCTGAGGAAGAGGAGGACCTCAGGCAGATAAATTCCATAGACCCCACCCTCCAAACAAGCTGTTGCCAATCTCCAGGTGACAGCTGGAAAAGCTCTGGTGCTAATTCAAAGTGCTGGGGATGTTTTGCATTATGGTAGGGGATGCTGCAAGTGTAGAAAATGAATTCTTGACAGAGTAGTGTTTTGGAAAATATTTAGGAACTGTTTGGTCCATTTACCATGGGGCACCAATCCAGAGCCTCTGGCATTTTCTCACTCTGCTGACATCAAAACCAATTTAAGGCAAAATAGAGATATGGAGACTTTTCCATCCTCCTTTGCATCAATCTATCCTTGTTGGCAACCCTAGGCCTGACAGCACTCTCAGGGTGACTTTATGCCTCCTGACTGGCATGACTTCACTAGCCCTGGCTGCTTGCTCCTGTTCAGCATGAACCTCCCTATGGAAACTGCCTGGGTGATTTTTGACCAGCCCCAGACTTTCTGCCTAACCTACCTTGCAGGACTGCTGTACTGATCACAAAGCGGAAGAGGAGAATGAAGTAAGCTGCTTTGCTCCCCACTAACGAGAAAGACAGAACTTTGCCTAGGAAGATCCTGCTGAGAGGGGAGGAGATAAAGTTGCCATCTTTAGGTATGGAAATTCCCGGAGATTTGAGGGGTGGAGCCTGGACAGGGTGAGGTTTGAGGAGGGGTGGGACCTCAGACAGGTACAGTGCCATAGACTCCAACCTCCAAACAAGCTGTCTCCTCCTGGGGAACAATTGTTGCCAATCTCCAGGGAACGGCTGGAGATCACTTAGAAATACAACTGCTATCCAGGAGGGAGGGGGGAGGAAATGGAAAGCTGAAGTCAGAGGGGCACATAAAGGTAGGTTGATGGTTGGCTGGGTAGGAGATAGGCTTGCCAACTCCAGGCTGGGAAATTCCTGGAGATATGAGGGGTGGAGCCTGGAGAGGGTGGGGTTTGAGGAGGGGTGGGGCCTCAGACAGGTACAATGCCATAGACTCCACCCTCCAAAACAGCCATTTCCTCCTGGGGAGCCACTGTTGCCAATCTCCAGGGGAGGGCTGGAGATCACTCAGAATTACAACTGCTCTTCAGATGGCAGAGATCAGTTCCCCTGAAGAAAACGGTAAGCTGAGTGTCATAATACTGTGCTGAGGTCACCACAGCAAATTGACGCTGAGTGCCAAAGACCAGGGCACCCACCCAGAGCTTCTTTCTAGAGCTCGTTGTATGTATTTCCACAACGGGCTTTATTCCTAGTCTCTTATAAAGTTTATATCTCTGCTACCTGGCATTACATTTTATGACACGCATGGCCTGACCCCACAAGATCCCATTTATGCCAGATAGGGCCCCTATAACAAACGAGTTTCACACCCCTGCCATAGAGTGTTGCATTAGGCTGTGATGTCACTTCTGTGTTGTCACCTGGAAATGTCATTGGCAACACTGTTGCCCAGAGCTCCGCCAATAAAAAGTTCCCCACTGGTTGCCAGTGACAGACTTGCGACCATATGAATCATGCATGATCATTCAAACATGCAATCCTCCCAGAAAAAGCTTGAGCACAAGACTGCTCCAATTATCTGTTTTGTCTCTAACTGATACTCTTTCAAGTGGAATTCCCTCTCCCCCAACACACACACACACACACACACACACACACAAATGTTTACTTGCACTTTAAACAGTGGCCTTGTGTCACAACACAGAATAAGATTTATGCACATCCACTTGACCACTCACAGCTGTACATATAGAACAAATTTAAGAGTCCAGTGGGGGCACCTTTAAGACCAACAAAGTTTTATTCAAGGTATGAGCTTTTATGTGCAAGCACACTTTTATTTGACAAAGTGTGCATGCACACAAAAGCTCATACCCTGAATAAAACTTTGTTGGTCTTAAAGTGCCCCCACTGGACTCTACATTTGTTCTACTGCTTCACACCAGCACGGCTGACCACCTGGATCTAGCTGTACATGTGAATACTTCATGAAAACGTAGTGTGTTTGAAGCAACCTGAAAGTTTTGTCTCGGACCTCTGGTCTGTGATGGTTCATTCAGGGCTATTTTGGGGCAGGAACGGCGTTCCGGTTGGGTTCAGAGTTGGCCATGCCCACTACAGCCCAAACCTCTGCGTGCTTGGCTACAGAGGGAAGGCCTGGAGAGCGACCCCCCCCCAGCCACTCTGAGATGGGTGGGCCAGGGGGGCCCTGGAAAGATTGGGGAGGCATTTAAATGCCTCCCCGTGCCTTCCCCAGCCTGTCCAAGGGCTGGCTTGCCCAGTCTCCCTGCAGCCACGGGGCGCCCGGGCAAGCCAAGGGAAGGCATGGGGGTATGGCCTGATATGCTAATGAACTGTGCTGTCAGGGGTGTGGCCTGATATGCTAATGAGTTCCTCCTGGGCTTTTTCCACAAAGAAAGCCCTGTACACATGCAAGTCATGCTGCAGACATCAAGTGACTACCACATGCGGGTGAAACCATAAATGAGGATGAGGGCCAAGAGGAGGTGCAGCTTGTTCTGCTCAGCTTCTTCCTGTCCTCCTTCCTCTGCAGTCACAGGCCCCCAGCTCTGATTCCAGTGTGAACTTTTACTCCTTCTCCCATAGTGTTTGACCTGGTATAAAACCAGGGTTAGCATATTTTGAAAAGCAAAAAAGAGGACATATTTCCCGACTGACTACTTCAAACAACTGATCACCATGACAAATCTCATTTGAAACAACCCTCCTATTTAAGCTGAAGCTCGCCTGTGCCGGGGGGGCTATAGGGCAAAACAAGCTCAGCCTCCCAACCAGTGTTCCCTGAGTTAGTGTGAGCTAGCTCACAGTTTTTTAGCCTCCGGCTCACACATTTTTGACTCAGCTCAGGAAGGGATGGCTCCAGAGCAGACTAATTTATGCAGGAGCCAAATCGCTCGCTCACAACTTTAATGCCAGTAGCTTAAAAAGTAGAATTTTTGCTTACAAGACTCCACAGCTTAGAGGGAGCATTGCTCCCAACTCAAAAAGAGGACATTTCCATCAGTTTTTTAAAGAACAGCCCAAAAGAGGGCAGACGCCAAAAAAAGAGAGAACATCTGGTAACCCCAATAAAACCTTTCCCCATCCCCTTACTGCTCAGCCTATTTATCCACTTCCAGCGTTTAACTGGCTCTTTAAAAAAAGGCTTTGTTTAACATATGAATAAATTGGGGGGGGGAGTGGCTTCATGGAGGGGCCAGCCAGTCAGCGTTCTGAACAGCTGGCTCTCTAATGGAAACAGGAAGGGCCGGTTGCTCTTGGGATCGGTTCTCCTTGGAGGTTTGCATATCTGTTCCAGGAGGGGTGAGAGGGCTGCTGCTTCACCACAGGCCCACCACTCTACGTACAATTCTCCATCTTCACTCACTAGCGCCCGCAGCTGAGACTGTAGTTTTTGAGAGCCTGGTTCCAACGATGAATTCCAACAGCTCTGGAAGTGGCTCGAAAAAGCATCACCATGACTAATAAAAACAACCCTCTCTCGGTGCTTTGAAACGCCTCCTCCAAAGCTTCCCTTCCCATGAACCTTTTGCCACAACCACTGAGTCTCCCTCTGCAAATGAAACTTCGACTGAGCATGTGCAGCACATGAATCCCGCCCAGCCACACCCACACACACACCCGTCTTCCCTTGTTTAACCCCACCTCCACTCTTTCCTGGCCCCCTTGTTTCCAATTGCAGACTGTTAACCCCTCAGGGCAGAGACCTGTCTTATTGTACGGTGTGAAGTGGCACTCAGTGGAGGAAGCCACAAGGGCCTCCAGTTTGCAGGTCCTGGGCAAGGCTGTTATTGATAGGAAGTTTGGGAGGTCATTGAATTCATGGTGGGAAGTGTTGTCAAGTCACAGGTGACTTACGGCCACCCTGGAGGGTTTCCAAGGCCAGCGACTAGCAGAGGCAGTTTGCCATTGGTCCCTGGTATTCCTTGGGGGCAGGGCTCTTTTTGTAGCAGGAGCTCCTTTGCATATTAGGCGACACCCCCCTAATGTAGCCAATCCTCCAAGAGCTTACAGAGCTCTCCTTACAGGAGCTACTGTAAGCTCTTGGAGGATTGGCTACATTAGGGGCGTGTCGCCTAATATGCAAAGGAGCTCCTGCTACAAAAAGAGCCCTGCTTGGGGGTCTCCCATCCAAATAGAGGAGAAAGAGGCCAGAAGAAGCCAAGCCGACGAGCCGTTCCAGAAAAAGAAGAAGATCGAATAACGTCCCTCCACTGGGTGCTGTTAGGACAGTCCCCACCCCAGTTAACTGTAAGCCACTCAGAGACCCCCTGGGGAGTTCAAGCGGGGTAGCAAGTTGAAAGATAAATAAATAAAATAAATAAATACTGGCCAGGGCTGCTGACCCTGCTTAGCTTCCAAGATCCAGGTCGTAGGGTCGCTATAAGTCATAAGTGACTTGATGGCACACAACACACAAAGTAACACAATCGTAACAACAGCGATACAAATGCACCACAGTTAGGAAAAGGATTTCAGCCCGAGGGAGCCTTCCTAGTCTGAGGGGGCCTTATGAATGTCTACCTCACCATCTACAGAAATGAGCAGCAAGCACTACCGCCAAAGCAAGCAGCAGCCGAGTTGTTTGGAGAAGGAGGGAACGTGTTCAGGAATATTTCAAACAGCACGAGAAAGGAACTATTAATACATTTCCAGTGGGCAGTTTCCAGCTGACAGAGCCGCAAATGTTCCCTTGTGAGGGTGGGCTCACCATCTAGCAAAGTACAACTCGGGTTTCCGTTTCCCAAATAATCCCTGTGGCAAAAAGACTCTCAGAATACGTTTCAAGCCAGAGAAGATGATTGGTCGGAGTAATCATGGCAAAGGATACTGAAGCTCCTGTCTGTAATTGCCAGGTGCCAGAGGTTAATTCTAAGATCATCCGCTGACATGTAGGTCTCGCAGTCGCTGTTGACAGAAATGGAGTTGACGTGATAGGTATGGCCATTTGCGAAAATTCTCCTGGGGCTGACTTCTACCATCAAATCCATTGGCTTCAAAACAGGCACCTGTGAAAATGAACATCGATTTAGACACAGGAATATATTTGTTACAAAATGTTTCTAGCTGAGAGTTTTTGCATAGAATTTTGAATTAAGGGGTCTCTTTCTATTTACATCTGGCAATCTTTGATGTCTGCTCAAAAGTACAAAATATGCCTGCAAAAAACGCTTTCTACCAACTCAGCCTAGCTCATAAAATGCCCCCTTACCTAGATACGGCTGACCTGGCCACCTGGATTCTCACCACAGTAACATCAGGACTAGACTACTGTAATTCATTGTACGTTGTTCTCCCCTCAAAATCAACTCGTAAGGTCCGACTGGTGCAGAATGCCACAGCCTGGCTGTGACTGGGAACCGGGCAGAGCATGCATGTCACTCCCATTCTGCAGACGCTGCACTGCCTGCCCACTTGTTACCAGGCTCAATTTAAGGCACTGGCTCTCACATACAAAGCCCTCCGTGGCCTTCACCCCTCTTATCTGCTGGACCGCCTCTCCCCCCTGTGCTCCGCTGTGACAGCTTTGGTCTCCTGAGCAAGGTCTTCTGCAGGTGCCCACCTGCAAATGGGCAGAATCCACAGCTGCCTCCGTTGTGGCTCCTGCCTTGAGTGGAACGTCCTGCCCGAGGAGGTCGGGACCCCTGCCTCTACCAGGGGGTCTGGCAACCTCAGAAGAACCTCAGCTCCCTACCTCCTTCTTCGCTTCCTACAACATTCCTATCCCCCCTTTCTCTCTCTTGAGGACACAGTACACTCAGCCCTTCTTGGGTGGACTTTGTCTCTGGGGAGGCAACAGATAATTTCCTAAACAGATCAACAACCACATCTTGTGTTCCCAGACCCTCCTGGGCTGCCTGAGGATAAAGAAAAAGGATAAAGTTTTTGTTCGCTTTAATATCTATGAGTACCCAACATGCCTGAATGCATCGGTCGACGTGAAAGACCGTCAATGGAGGTTAGCCCTTCTCTAAGAGTCTGTAGTCACCTTTGGCATTCTGACACGGGGTGGTGGGCGCAGCCACAAAATGGCTGCCATAGCAGGAGAAGCCAACCACATAGTGTTAGGGAGGGAGGTCAGGCATCACTCTAACTCCAATAGTAACTCTTCAACATTTCAAGCAGAAGTTCTGTTTAACAGGATGCATTTTAGAATGAATATATTGCTTAAAAGTAGTTTTTTGCATACTCTCAGCTTACTTTCAGTCAGCCCCGTAGCTAGGGGATTTTTTGGGAGGGGGCCGGGTGGGGGCCACCAGCTAATAAAATCAAAGTTAATTCAATTAATTGTAAATTGATTAGTGGAACTCCTTAAAAGCTGGCCTTCTCCTAAGGCAGCACTGCACCCCTGCCAGGCTCCAGGGCAAGTGGAGGGGGGTAATGACCAAGGCACTCATAGTGTTCAGTTTTCTGGCAAGCCAGTCAGAGGTGGTGAGTTGAGGAACTTTGGGGCCAGCCTGGTAGGGAGGGGCTCAGAAAAAAATGCTAGGGGGCCGGGCCCCATGGGCCCCACGTTAGCTACGGGCCTGCTTTCAGTCACGCAGTGAGGATCCTTATGCTGTGGTGACAGCTGCTGTCAGAGTAAACATTTTTAAAAATCTGCGCCACACAGCCCATCAGATCTCCAGTGTCCAGCCACTTTCTAAAAACACTCGGTAGGGGCCAGGAAAGGTGTTGGTGGGTGCCACCCGTGCTCCCTCTAAGCCATGGAGGGGTCCTGTCAGCCAGAATTCTACTTTTGTGAGCTCCTGGCATTAAAGTTGTGAGCAAGCGATTTGGCTGCTGCATACATGAGTTTGCTCTGGAGCCCCTCCTTCCCGAGCTAAGACAAAAATGTGTGAGCCGGAGGCTAAAAAGCTGTGAGCTAGCTCACACTCACTCAGCTCAGAGGGAACACTGGTACCCACGGGCACCCTATCAGGGACCCCTGATGGAGGTAATTACCCAAAACAATACATTTTAAGATGCAGTTGTAGCTGTATTTTAGGATACATCCTAACACAAGGGGGATGCCAGTGAAAGCTGAACTGGTAATAGATGGCTATCCCTACCCCACACGGACAACAATCTAAGGAACACACATTACGTTCCTGGATGCTCTCCAGAGGTTTGGCAGAAAAATCTATGCCGCTAATAGATGTCTCAAGGCAAGCCCTCCAAACCACCCCCTTTCCCCATGACTTGCTTAGATGAGGTTGGGGGATGGCCAGTGGTGGGGGGTCAAGGGAGAGTGCCCAGGGCTCTGCCGAACAGGGTCAAGAACAGACAGGAGCAGTAGGAGACGTGGTTCCTGTGGTTCCTGGCCAGCACCGTCTTGGCTGTGCAGTCTTGCAGCAGTTTTTATTATTATAGACAATTATTGAAAGTATCATTCCCACAGAGACGGCTAACTAGGGAGGCTATGCCTACATGTGCTGTATGACAATTGTGATTGGGATTCGGATACCTTCAGCAACAAATGCATCAAATATATCACTGGGGTGCAGCAGAGAGACAGGGACTGAGTCTCCGCTCAGCCACAAAGCTCATTGGAGAACCTTGGCCCAGTAATTCTCTATCATCTTAACCAACTTGTAGTGTGGGGGGGGGGGATTCAGCAAATTCACCAATATAACAAAGAACTATAGGGATGGCCTGTTCACATGCCGTTGTGCTTGAGCGTGAGGTGAGCCCGGCAACAGTTACCTTAATGGACCACCACAAACCGGGACCTAATGAGAGGAAGTGATGCTCTGACCGCTCACCTGAAGTGAGGTCACCGTAGAAAGGTCTTTAAGTTTCCCTTCTTCATCTTTTAAGTTGTATCCCTCAGGTCTCTTATCTCGTTCGGTAATTTTCCACAGTTTAATAGTTTTATCTTAAAACAAAAGAGACCAGCACTGTTATTAGAAACAGCACTGTTTACTTATTTTTGACATCATGACTGCTGTGTTAGAAGCTTCAGTGTCTGTAACCAGAAAGCATTAAATGCACCTTGGATGTCTCGGCTTAGGTCAGCAAGTGAGTCAGCAGCTCCAAGGCCTGCCGTGAAGGCAATACCGGTGGCTCTCTGTGAAGCCGAACGTTGGAAGAGATGGAACTAGAATCGGAGGGAGGTATTTGGAAGGGGACCCTCCTGTTTATGTTTTCTCCTGAATGCATAGGTATGACATTCCTCTGGTATTCCTAAAGCTGTTTAGCCTCATCATGAGCGGATTTCCCCCAAAGCGATCCATTTTAGTGATCAATAGAAAATGGACACAATTCAGCTAAAGTTAGTAGTAACTGGCAGTGCCATCCGATGCACACTTTCCGTGGAATAAGCACCATTCAATAGACTTGAGTAGGATTCTGAACAGACATGTCTTGGGAGAGCTCTGTCAGCGTTCTTTCACATGGAGGCTTTCTTCTGGTTTGGGTACTGTGCTTCAGTAGCTTTTCTCTGAGCTTCCTCTTTCCCCATTTTATTTCTTTGTTCAATTCATTTGAACCCTGATTTTCTCTCCGATGGGGACCCGAAGCAGCATACATCAGTCTCCTCTCCTCCATTTTATCCTCACAGCAGCCCTGTGAGGTAGGTTAGGCTGAGGGGTGTGTGACTGTCCCAAGGTCACCCAGCAAGCTTCTATGGCATGAGTGGGGATTTGAACCTGGGGCTCCCTGATCCTAGCCCAACACTCTAACCACCTACACCACACTGGCTTGCTTCCATCTGTTGTCTTTCCATGTGGTTTGAGAAAGCACAGAGAAATGATGAGGAAAACATGGAACAGCAAATGGGAAACAAGGACATGAGGAAGACTGGAGAAAGAACACTGCTGGTTGTCACCCAGTGACCCAAACCCAAGGGGAACATGTTTGCCAACTCTGGGCTGGGAAGTTCCTGAAAAGTTGGAGGTGGCGCCTTGGGAGGGTCATCGGCAGGGTACAAGGCCACAGAGTCCACCCTCCAAAGCAGTCATTTTCTTCAGGGGAGCTGATCTCTGTAATCTGTAAGCTTCGGGGTGGGGGGGAGGTTTCCCAAAGGATACCATAGAAAATTCCCTGTCTCTAGTCACTCTAGTAACAGCGTTCCGTGCGCCTTGGTGTTTAGTCATGCCGGCCACATGACCACGGAAATGTCTTTGGACAGCGCTGGCTCTTTGGCTTTGAAACGGAGACGAGCACCGCAACCCTAGAGTCGGACTCCACTGGCGTTCGAGCAAGGGAACCTTTACCTTTACTAGTCGCTACCTGCCTCACCTCTGAAGGTGGAGACACAGAGCAGGGCTCGAGAGCTAGATCTTGAATGGCAGGCTGACTAGTACGCGAGGAGATGCTCCTTCAGACACCCTGGTCCCAAGCCATTTAAGGCCCTAAAGGTAACAACCAGCAGTCTGGATTGTGCCCAGAAACAGATGGGTAACCAGTGCAGATCTTTCAGCACAGGGGGGGGGATACAGTCCCTGTAACCAGCCCAGCAGTAACCTGGCCAACGGCATTTCGGATCAACTGAAGTTTCTGAACTGCTTTCCAGGGCAGACCCACACAGAGCGCATTACATTAATCCAACTTGACATTAGAACCAGCTAAGGTCCTTCCCCTCCCCAAACCCATCCCCAAGCCCACCCCCAAACCTCTATGACTCTCCCAGCCGGTATCTGGCAGCCCTGTATTAACCCAGGCATCCTCACCATTCGTGGACAGAAGAGCGTGGGCGGCATTCTGCTTCGGCAGCCACTTGATCTTGTTTATTTTTTCCTCTATTTCCAAACTCTTCAAATAGTCAAACTCTGGCTCATGGCTCTGGAAGGTGCTGTAAACATTGTACTCACCTTGACTGTAAGGTTCATTTTTGCTCTGCAAGGAACACAAAATGTCAACAATTAACCTCAGGTCTTTAACACAGGATCCAAACATCTTTGTTTCCAGGGGAAACTAACGGCACTTCCAAATTCACTCATACACCAGAACTCATGGAACCAGGAAAAGCCAGTGTGGTGTGGTGGTGAAGAATGTCAGAAACACGCCCCCCCTGGTTTGGCAGGGGTCACCCGCTTTTTGGGGGGTTCCACCCACCACCTGGCTGGCAGGGGAAGCCCCGCCCCCAAGCCCCAACATCCGCAGCCACCCTCTCCCTTCTCTCTTGAGAGAGAGGGGGGAGAGGGGCGGCTGTGGGCCACACGCCTGATCTCCCAGCAGCATTGCCGCTTGGAGATCGGGCGCCCGGGGCCCTCCGGCTGCAGGCACTCTGTGCACCCAGTCTCCGAGCGGCAATGCCCCCTCTGGGAACGCCCCCCCAAAGTCCCCTACTGGGGACAAAGATGGACCTGGCAACCCTATCAGACTCATATCTGGAAGGTCCAGGTTGGAAACCCCACTTGCGCCATGGAAGCTCGCTGGGTGACCCTTTGGGCCAGTCACACTCTCTTAGCCTCACCGACCTCACAGGGCTGTTGTTGTTGTGAGGGTCGAAAGGACGAGAGGAGAATGATATAAGCCGCTTTGGGCCCCCAATGGGGAGAAAGGTGGGGTATAAATGAATAACATTAATGAGCCTGCTCGCGGGATGGGCAGGGTATAAATATAATAATAAAAAAATAAAATAAAAAAATAAAATAAATAGGGAGTGAAGACCTGGGCTGGGCTTGGCTGACCTCAAGCCCCACAGCTTCCTCCCCCACACAGATCCCCTTCAGGGGCCTTGTTCTGTGTGGCCCCAGCACCATCACAGGTGACACGGGCTTCCTCAGTGGCAGCACCTAAGCTACGGAACCTCAAAAGACTTTCTCTTTTGACATTTGGGAGGCAGATTAAAACTCTTCTGTTTCCCTGGACTTTGGTTTTGGCTCACTGGAACAGAATGAAAAAAGCAGATTGTCCATTTCCTCCTATAGAACAAGTAGCCTGCCGGGAGAGCTTGCCAGCATTTCAGCGGTAGGGGGGGGGGGTCCTCCTCCTCCGCGCCTGAAGGCTGTTGGAATTTGCTCAAGTCGGGGGAAGGAGCGCTGCAGGTCTTAGTAGTGTGATTTTTCTGGCTTGCTAATCGAATAATCCATCCCAGTTCATTGCTCTATTATAGGAGAACCAGTTTTGGTTTTCACAGGTGAACTTATTATTCAGTCTGTGTTTCTGGATTAGGTATCAGCTAACTGATTGTTAACTGTTAACACTGTTCGCTATTAAATGCTGAAATGAGAGTCTTACCCTGATAATAATGGGGACAATAAAACAACCCTCCTACCTCTGGCTCCCTTTGGAATATAACAACTCGACCGCCTTTGTCCCCAGTGGCCAGCAAGTCCCCTGTGTGGTTGAACTCAGCAGTTGAAATAATGTCAGCTGCAGAAAAGAAAAATGCAAAGGCAATGGTGGTTACATATATCAGGCCACACAGAACAGTGGAAACATCAGATATTCCCCACAAGCCCAAACAAAGGAGCTGCTTTCATTCCCCAAACCTAACACAGAACCATAGAAACCGCATTTCCCTCACAATCTGAGTCTCAGAACCATTCCCACATTTTCTTCCAAATTTTCCAGGCCCACAAACTTCGTTTACAATTTCTGAAGAAATCTATCATGTATCCAGCTCCCAAAATGCCAAAAGATTAATAGGTAATTTCTAAAAACTCAAGGCTGGATTGCCAATCCCCACTGAAAGAAAATTAACAAACAATGGGGGAAACTAACACCGTAGAAACGACTTTTGTTGTTGTTGTTCAGTTGCACAGTCGAGTCCAACTCTTCGCGACCCCATGGACCAGATCACGCCAGGCCTTCCTGTCTTCCGCCGTCCTCTGAAGTTTGCTCAATTTCATGTTCGTTGCATCTATGACACTGTCCAACTGTTAAGTCGTGCGCTTAACAAAGAAGTCGGAGAGTGATTCAGCAAGAATGCGGTTTATTCTTCAGCTCTGTTACTTCTCCGCTACGGTACAACGATCGCCAGCCAGAACCCATCATTCGAACCAACACATACACTGGCTGCTCGATATTTAAACACTCCCGGCTAATGTAGCCACACCCACTGTACAATAAGGCAACCTATGAGGTTGAAGCAATAACAACCAATCACAAGCGATCCCGCTCTGCACGGTGATTGGCAGACACTTTCTGGGCTAGGGCTCCTATTGGTTACACTAGGATCCTAGCCCAGGATGAAGCTCAACATGGCATCTCAATCAGGCGATTCACACATCAGTATTTACAACCAAATCTCAATGGCATAGTTCACAAAGCAGTTATATACATCTCAATACATAACAAATCCCTCCCCCCTAAGCAAAAACACTATGTACAATCATATTCGCTTAGATAGGTGGGCACTCTGCGAATTCGCTGAGACCTCCGCAGCGTAGGAGGTTCAGGGCACCTCTGAATTGGGGGCACTCGGCTTGACTCACTCTCGAGTGGGTCAGGTAC